CCAGAACCAATAGGAGATGATGGTATAGAGTGTATACCACCTAGCCAAGATGAGGTCATAAAAGCAATTAATCGGCTCAAGAACAACAAAGCAGCAGGAGCCGATGGGTTACCAGCCGAACTATTCAAGACTGGTGGCCAGATGCTGGTCAGGAGCATGCACCAGCTGATTAACTCAATTTGGCTAGATGAATGCATGCCCAATGATTGGAACCTCAGCATCCTGTGTCCCGTGCACAAAAAAGGAGACAAGACGATATGTGCCAACTATAGAGGAATAAGTCTCCTTCCCATCGCATATAAAGTGCTATCCAGTGTGCTGTGTGAACGATTGAAGCCAATGGTCAATGACATCATCGGACCATACCAATGCGGCTTCAGACCTGGAAAATCCACCATTGACCAGATTTTCACTCTGCGCCAAATCCTGGAAAAGACCCACGAAAAACACATCGACACATACCACCTATTTGTCGACTATAAAGCCGCATTCGACAGCCCTATCCGTTCAGAGGTGTTTAAAGCCATGTCTGCGTTCGGCATTCCTGCAAAATTAATACGGCTATGCAGGATAACTTTAAGTGGCACAAGGTCAGCCGTTAAAGTAGGAAAGGACCTATCGGAGCCCTTCAATACCGAACGAGGATTTAGACAAGGTGACAGTTTGTCGTGTGATCTTTTTAACATCCTACTGGAAAAGGTCATACGAGACGCAAAGGTGAACAGAAATGGCACTCTGTACACCAAACAACACCAGTTACTCGCCTACGCCGATGACATCGATATAATGGGTCGAACATTGCGAGCGGTAACAGCCACCTTTGAACAAATTGAAAAGGAGTCTGCTAAAGTGGGTCTGGCAGTAAACGGCGAGAAGACCAAGCTGATGGTATCAACGCGCAAGACGTCCAGTAGACTCGGACCAACTGTGGAACTTGAGAACTACAGCTTCGAGGTAGTTAAAGACTTTATATACCTTGGTACCGCCATAAATAAAACGAATGATATCAGTTTTGAAATTCGGAGAAGGATTGTGATGGCCAACAGATGCTACTATGGTCTAAGTAAGCAGTTTAGAAACAAGGCCACCTCTCGCCAGACCAAACTCACACTTTACAAGACGCTGATACTACCCGTGCTATTATATGGATCAGAAGCATGGGTACTTGCGCAAGCAGATGAGGCAGCGCTTGGGGTGTTTGAGAGAAAAATTCTCCGTAAGATCTACGGGCCGATCTGCGTCGACGGTGAATATCGGCGTCGAATGAACCACGAGCTCTACAATTTATACGCAGACATCGACATAGTCAGTCGTATTGAGCTGCAGCGACTACGGTGGCTAGGCCATGTTGTGCGGATGAATGAAGATGCCCCAGCTCAAAAGGCATATAAAAATGAGCCTACGGATGGTTCCCGTAGAAGGGGAAGGCCACGAATTAGATGGAAAGACCAAGTAGAAAACAACATCTTGGAACGTGGTCTTCCAAATTGGTGGACTTGCGCACAAGACCGTTTTTTTGAAATCGAAAATGGGGATTTGTTTTCTTAATGAAAATTTAAACAATAGCAATTGATGCATTCGGGACGAAGAGCAGTTTGTGGGACAAGGCCTACATAGCCGATACACCAAATGTATGGTTAGTATAATTTTTAAGATCTGCAGAGTATAGGAACCACTATTCGCTTTATATCAAGATTATGATTTTTAAAAGATTTGACCATCTGTAGAGATGCACTAGATGTTTATTAGATGTACAACATGGTTATATATAAGTTTTTACCATTTTGTGTAAGGAGAACCATAAGGAATGGTAATCTCCGCCTCAGAACTTAATTTAAGTTTAGAAAATATATTTTTTCGGAATTCTAAATAATTTTAAGTTGATTTGGCCAATGGGGTCTAATATATATTTGCCTTGTTAGCCTAAAGGCTAAAGTTATAATCATGCCGCGAGAGAGAACATAACCGTCACTGATGACTTGCTCATAACGGTCAATAGCGATTGAAACTGATGATCTCAACGACATTTGGATAAAATATGACTTGATTAGAAATTCCCCTGCCAGAAAATGTTTATTGCTCTTAAAAATCAAATCTTTAACCGTAATTGAAATTTCCACTACTTAACAGCATAAGCTCCATTTCTAAATAAACTTTTCATAGTTGCTAATATGGTTTATAAAAAGATCGTTAGGAGAAGATACCATTGAAAGGTCTAGTCCCTTTATATCATTTGAATTGATGTAAAACATTATCCGTGTTTGTGGGTATGTTATTTCCATGGTTTATTACTTAATTGCACTAGTAGCTCTACACATGCATATACATTTGTAGATATTCCTATATCAATGACATTGTAATAGAACTATATCATATCTACATTTTGTCGTTGTTTTCAGAAAATCGTGCTGGTCCCTCGAATCTTGGCAATGTCATTAGCCAAATATTACTGTGCAAACAAATAACACCGGATTTCAATCAAGAAGAGCTGTGTAGTATTACAAAGGATTCACAGGATATCGCATTGTTACTATCGGAAATGCAAGAGTTCATGCCAAAACATGAAACATATCTGGGTATGTATACAAAGCATTCATATATACAAACAAACAACCATTCATTTATTCATTCATCCAGCACTAGCACAGCAAGGAAAGGCTTTTGCGGTTTTATCCTTGTTCATGGGCTTTTCCATGTACATAAAATGATTATGATGATGAGATTTTTATGTGTATGTGTGAGTGTGTTCGCTTGTTTGTTTGTGATAACATAAACATTAGTTTGCTTTCAATGTTTTTGTTAGGACAAGAGCTTTTTCAATTTGGGAAATTAGATTAAGACATTCATTCTGAAATTTTGTTAAAACGGACTGAATTCTTTTCAACAAGCTTGAATATTTTATAAAAAAGAGGGCAATGGGGATTTTAGACAAAATAGCAGGATTACAATTTAAAATATGTTTTAAGAGTTAGATTCGGGGGTTTTCTACGATTTAACAAATACAAATAAGAGTGCCTTTAAAGGAACATTTCAAAAAATGTGTATTAAATTTAATTTTTGGAAAATTTAATGATATGTATTTTACGAAACAGCAAGGAAAGACTCATAGTCGGACGTAGTTTATTATATGATGCCCTATAGCAGTTTGGCTGACCATATGATACTCTTACCACTTTGGTTATATACAGGAGATGCTTCTAAGATTTGTACACCCTTCACCAAACTGTGTTTGTTACAGGCAAAAGGAAATGAGATAGACACATGGTTCCCTTTGAGAATATGCATAGAATCACTTTCTAAGTCGATGTCCGTCCGCCCGTCTGTCTATCCATGTTAAATTGTAAACAAAGTACAGGTCGCATTTATGATCCGAATTGGATGAAATTTGGCCCACGTCACTTATTTTGCCCAATGACGAGCCTTATTGAAATTCGGAAAAATCGGTTCAGATTTAGAAATAGCTTCCATATATATTTTCGTCCGATTGAATGTAAATGGTGCACTAAAAACCCTATACATCTTTCGATTTGCACGAAATTTGGCACAGCGTAATGAATTAGGTCTAGAATGATGTGTGTTAAGTTTCGTGAAAATCGGTTCAGATTTAGATATGGCTTCCATATATATATATATATATTTTCGTCCGATTTAATGTAAATGGTGTACCAAAGTCCCTGTATAGGTTTCCATTTGCACGTAATTGTTCATAGGGTACTGAATTAAGTCTAGAATGATGTGTGTACTATATATATATATTCTCGATTTGCACAAAATTTGGCATAGCGTACTGAATTAAGTCTAGAGTGATGTGTGCTAAATTCCAGTTCAGAATTATACATAGCTCCTATATATAACTCTTCCGATTTTGTGTAAATTGTGCACTAAAGGCCCAAAATTTGTCCGATTGTCACACAATTTTGTACAATGAATAGATAATATAAATTAATCTCTGGCAAGTCTCGTTGAAATCGGTTCAGATTCAGTATAGCGTCTACATATATATTTTCGTCCGATTTTACACAAAATTTGGCACAACGTACTGAAGATAGTATAACATAACGTGTGGCAGGTTTTGTTGAAATCGATTCAGATTTAGATCAATGGGTGTCCGATTGATATTAACTTAAATTGTCCAATTGATATTTACCTTAAATTAATTTACATAAATTAAAATTTTGGTATAGGTTGCAGAATGACATGTTTATGGATCCAATTTCATTCATGGATCCTTCAAAAATGCGACGTCTGTTAGGATTCATCTGTTTTAAATACCCAAAGTGGTGAAGGGAAGGGGTCTATGTCAAAACATTAACCTACATCGAATTTCCCTCCATGAACATCGAATGGCAATTTGCATCCACTTCTGAATGAAAATGTTGCTAAAATTGCGTCTTACTTATTTAGCGGGCTTGTTACAGAACGGTTGTTCCATAAGCCGAGCGCAAGTCCACCAATTTGGAAGACCACGTTCCCAAATGTTGTTTTCTACTTGGTCTTTCCATCTAATTCGTGGCCTTCCCCTTCTACGGGAACCATCAGTAGGCTCATTTTTATATGCCTTTTGAGCTGGGGCATTTTCATTCATCCGCACAACATGGCCTAGCCACCGTAGTCGCTGCAGCTCAATACGACTGACTATGTCGATGTCCGCGTATAAATTGTAAAGCTCGTGGTTCATTCGACGTCGATATTCACCGTCGACGCAGATCGGCCCGTAGATCTTTCGGAGAATTTTTCACTCAAACACCCCAACTGCCTCAACTGCTTGCGCAGGTACCCATGCTTCTGATCCATATAATAGCACGGGTAGTATCAGCGTCTTGTAAAGTGTGAGTTTGGTCTGGCGGGAGGTGGCCTTGTTTCTAAACTGCTTACTTAGACCATAGTAGCATCTGTTGGCCATCACAATCCTTCTCCGAATTTCAAAACTGATGTCATTCGTTTTATTTATGGCGGTACCAAGGTATATAAAGTCTTTAACTACCTCGAAGCTGTAGTTCTCAAGTTCCACAGTTAGTCCGAGTCTACTGGACGCCTTGCGCGTTGATACTGCCAGACCCACTTTGGCAGACTCCTTTTCAATTTGTTCAAAGGTGGCTGTTACCTCTCGCAATGTTCGACCCATTATATCGATGTCATCGGCGTAGGCGAGTAACATGTGTTGTTTGGTGTACAGAGTGTCATTTCTGTTCATCTTTGCGTCTCGTATGACCTTTTCCAGTAGGTTGTTAAAAAGATCACACGACAAACTGTCACCTTGTCTGAATCCTCGTTCGGTATTGAAGGGATCCGATAGGCCCTTTCCTACTTTAACTGCTGAACTTGTGCCACCTCTGAACGGATAGGGCTGTCGAATGCGGCTTTTTAGTCGACAAATAGGTGGTATGTGTCGATGTGTTTTTCGGGGGTCTTTTCCAGAATTTGGAGCAGAGTGAAAATCTGGTCAATGGTGGATTTGCCAGGTCTGAAGCCGCATTGGTATGGTCCGATGATGTCATTGACCATTGGCTTCAATCGTTCACACAGCACACTGGATAGCACTTTATATGCGATGGGAAGGAGACTTATTCCTCTATAGTTGGCACATATCGTTTTGTCTCCTTTTTTGTGCACGGGACACAGGATGCTGAGGTTCCAATCATTGGGCATGCATTCCTCTAGCCAAATTGTGCTAATTAGCTGGTGCATGCTCCTGACCAGCATCTGGCCACCAGTCTTGAATAGTTCGGCTGGTAACCCATCGGCTCCTGCTGCTTTGTTGTTCTTGAGCCGATTAATTGCTTTTATGACCTCATCTTGGCTAGGTGGTATACACTCTATACCATCATCTCTTATTGGTTCTGGGGTATCGCAACTATTTGATACTAGAAGCTTTTCGAAATGCTCCTTCCAGATCCTCAACACGCTGTCTGTATCTGTCACCAGGTTTCCTTCTTCATCTCTACAGTAGGATGTGCCTGCGCCAAAGTCTTCGGTTTGGTGTTGTACACGTTGGTAAAATTTCCTGACTTCATTCTGACTCCTGTACATCTCGATTTGCTCACGTTTTTCTTGTTCTTTCTTCTTTTTTCTGAAAACACGTTTCTCATTTCTTCTTTTCTCCCGATAATTCTCCATCACATTACGTGTTGCTACTGTCTGCAGGGTGGCACCGCCCCCAGGTGGCACCGCGGGGAGGTCAGTGTCCACAATTGAGATGAAAGAGGGACCAAGATAAGCCTGGACTTCGCCATGTTAAAGCCAATCAGAGCCGTTGCTTGGTATCTATCATCCCCTACGTCACCCGTAAATTGCGTCTAAATCCTTCAAAATACCACAAATGTGTTGGTACTATTACTTGTCTCTATACCTTTTTGAAGAGCATAGCATTTTGATCAAGAAGTGGATCTTTCTCATTTCCTTTTCCATGTTACAAGCATATACATTAAGACATAATACCCTGTACCACACAGTGTGGTGAAGGGTATTAAAACCAGCAGCTTGTAATTAAATATTACAAATTATACATTTGTTGTAATTCTTTATGATTATTACCACTATTTTACTTGTATTTACTTGTAACCTTTGGTAATTCTAGTTAAATACATTCTCTCACATTTTCATTGTTTTATTTTCTCCGTTTTCCTTTTACAGAACGCCATACAGCACTGGATACCAATGGACCTTGGGCAAATAAAGGACGCCACAATTACATTTGCAAAAATATGAGTTTATTTTGCTGTGTCTCTCGACCAAATTATCTCTGAAAGTAAATTGTAAGCCATCATCAGTACCAGTAGCATCACCACAATCAGCCACAATGACCATCATCATAGAATTTTCAGCCAACCAACCAGCCACCCACCCACATTCATCCCAACAAAAAAGTAACTAAAACAACAACATAACATAAAATCAGAAATGAATAGTAAAGAAAAAAAGGTTAACTTAAAAAGAAATTTAAAAGGAACAACAACAAACAAAAATGGAGTATATATTTAACAATGTATATAAAAGGCAACAGTCGTTTCTATATACACACAGAGACTCACATACATACGTATTTAGTTTCCTTTTAATAATTGTTACACATTTTCACCCTGAAGGTAATCAAAATATATACATTTATTCTTTTTTTTTTCAAAAGTAATTTAAGAACAAACAACCAAAAATGCACCAATTAGAATTTTAGAAGAAAAAAAGGAAAACAAACAAAAAATATAAAACAGTCGAAGAAATTTAAGATGGAGGAACATGAAATCTTGAAATGTTAACAAACACATCAATTATTTTTTAGAGACTTAAGTATAGAATTTAGACATGAATTACACCATACATACACATTTTTATATACAATATTATTTTTTGTGTATACATTATATACACCAGCGCATATACACACTCAATTAGTATATTTGAATGATAAAAATTTTGGTAATTTAATTATTTTTTTAAAATTGTTACTTTAAAATTAAATATAAAAATTGAAATTTTGTTAATTTAATAAAAATATAATAATGAAAAACAAAACATTGATTTCGAACCATTTATATCTGGAAGTAAATAATACACCATACATTGTTGATAACTTTGATTTAATATGTTGTTGATATAGTCGCAGCTAGGCAATGTGAATCTGTATTGAAGCACTGTACCTTAAAATATGTAAAAAACGACAGTCCGAACTTTCCATTCCCTACAACATGTGTTGTGCATTCCAAATTACTTAAGTCGGTCGGGACCAGTATATATGTTATTCCATTTTGTGCTCATATCTTGTTTTTGACCTACAAAATTAGGTGCACTGCGTACATAAAATGGTACGAAAATATATATGGGAGCTATATATAAATCTGAACTGATTGTCTCCAAATTCAATAGGGTTGGACCAAATAAGTGACCTGGCCAAATTTTATCCAATTCGGATCATAAATGCGACCTATACATTGTATACAATTAACATGGACAGACGGTTAAGGACGGACATGAATAAATCGTTTCAGAATTTGATTTTATGCATATTTTCAAAAGGAATCATGGGTCTATCTCGTTTAGTTTTGCCTGTTACAAACATATCCACAAAGACATAATACACTGTACCACAGCGTGGTGAAGGGTATAAAAACCAAATTATACTGCAGACCATATTATAGAGCGCATCAATGAACTGAAGTCGTTGCATGATGACGACAATGCGCAATCCTATAACACTGAAATAAACTAGTGTAGTGAATGTATGGCCCCTGGTCGAAGATTTCCTCCGGAACAATCCGGTGCATAGAAACGGCACCGTGGTATTGTTCGTGGCGTTTTGTTTTTCAAATATGAGTGATTCATTATATGCCGGAATGTCTGCTCCGAATCATTGTCATCCTCGCCGGGATAGTAAGGAACTCCGGGCTTTTTGACAAACGCATCCTCTGCAGATCAACTTCGCTGAGATGCAATAGATGTATGGGATGGGTACATTTCCGCTGCTGTTCAGGACTCAGCTAAGTACAAAACTACGGTGATAGAAGTTCGGTTGCTACATCTCTCAGTGTGTCCTCATTTATAATATTCGCCTCAAACGCAACACCTAACACCACATGATACTGTACAACTCTCAGAAATACATTGTTTTTTCCACTTAAGTGCGATGGACACTAGGATAAAATCAGTGAGTTTGTATTGTTCACGAATAGGAGAAATATAGTCGCCGCGATCTAAGATACCAAGTTGGGACCGTTGTGATGGTTACAACATGTTGTGAAATGATCTCTCTAGAAGTTATGGGACCTATCTCGTCTGATTTAGACTCAAGTGACCTGTAAAAGTGTATAGGCACATCAGTCAGGTGTTGCATTGCAAAGATAGACGAGATTGATTAGTTGTGTCTCGCGTCTTTTAGCCGATATTAGTTCGCTTTTGGAAGGTAATTGGAGTCTGGTGCCAGGTGATTTTAAAGCCCATCATAAACTCTGGAAGTACGTCCTAGGAGATTGAAAGTTCGCCTGACGTAACTGACAACCCATAATTTCCCTCTGATTGCCTCATTACATCTGAACTCCCTACATACCTAAATAATGATAAAGGTTATCGCCAAGGTTTTAGATATTTAGCAAATCACCCCTTTAAAGTGCTGTCCATTCCCTCAAATCCTAGGATTGTTCATATCTTAGATCATATGATAGTAAAACAAAAATTCTCAACGAAGGCGACGGTACTTTCAAATGGGCGGATGAACGACTCCTAAAAGCCCAAGGGCGAACGAGTCTTGAGAGTTAGGTGGACCATAGGGTAACTCAGATCCTAGAGTAGCTCAGATCCTCGGGTAGCTGATAGAAATACCCGAAGTAGGACTAAACTTTCGGTGTCATAAGGGTGACAGATCTAAATAGAAGCGAGAGTTTTTCTAGCCGACAGTTCATAGATCAGCCTAAGAGTGGCAAGCCGAAAAGGAGTCTGATTGGTTGTACAAGAGCCCACCGAGCAGACCCACCGAGCCACATTGTTCCTGAATTTAGGCAGGGTGGTCACGCAACGGACGCCAGGCAATGATGAAGCCGACCGCAGCAGCAAAGACTCTTAAGTCACTACTGCTCCCTCTGATGAGACGAAGGTTTCCAGTAGCCTAACGTCAGTGTGGATTCCGGAAGATGCACATCACGTTAACAGCGTTCGAGCTACACGAGGATATAGAGAAGACTAAACATCGGCCTAGTTCGAAATGTCGGCAGTCATACGAGGAACTGTAAACAGTTTTACTTCTACTTCTCTAGGTGGTAAGTTATGCGGCAAAGATGGGGTTTGGAAATGTAAGCAATACGCAGTGGAATAATATACAAACCTGTCAGAATGTCATCCTGAAGACTGTACTTACTCGTACATCGACACAATCGTATGCTGGCGATGCAGTATCTTGTCGACGACGGACATTACCCCACTCAGAGGCACGCAATAAAATAGAACTGACCTATCGTATAACATTAACATAGAAGCAGTGACCCACTGAGTACTTTTTTTGGATTCCACCTATAGCAGCAGAAAACGTCAACTGTCCAATTAAGATCGGGGTATGAGGCCGAATTGACAAACACATATCTTTCATGTGAACTAGAAACACACGATACGCTGTATCTTTTCAAGCTTTACAAAAATCGAACAAAAATATATATCAGAGCTCCATTTAAGTCTGAATTAAATCTGAAAGCTATATCTAAATCTAAAACAATTTTTGCCAATTTCTGCAGGGTTTGTCTATAAGCCAAATGTGAAAATTGTCAGACGACTTTATTTTGAAACATTAACCAGTAAGGAAAGTAGTAAAGTCGGATGGGGCCGACTATATGATACCCTTCACCAATTTGGATATATTCAGCAGTTGAATCCTAACATACGCATTTTTAAAGGACCAGTAAAATGCAATTGGATCCATATACATGTCATTCTGCAACCGATACTAAATTTTTCATTTCGTCAAATATAGACGCTATATCTAAATCTGAACCGATTTCAGGAATCTCAACACACATTATTCCAGACCTAATTCATTACGCTGTGCCAAATTTCGTGCAAATCGAAAGATATTTACGGACTTTGAGGGACCATTTCCATTAAATCGGACGAAAATATATATGGGAGCTATATCTAAATCTGAACCGATTTTCAGGAAACTTAACACACATCATTCATGACCTAATTCTGTACGCTGTGCCAAATTTCGTGCAAATCGAAAGATATATAGGGACTCTGGTGGACCATTTACATTAAATCGGACGAAAACATACATGGGAGCTATATCAAAATCTGTACCGATTTTCAGCAAGCTTGACACACATCACTCTAGACCTAATTTATTACGCTTTGCCAAATTTCGTGCAAATCGAAAGATATATGGGGGCTTTAATGGCCCACTTACATTAAATCGGGCGAAAATATGGGAGCTATATATAAATTTGAACCAATTTTCACAAAACATGGCACACGCCATTCTAGACTTAACTCAGTACGCTATGCCAAAATTCGTGCAAATCGAAAGATTTTCAAGGACTTTGGTGCACCATTTACCTAAAATCGGGCGAAACTATATATGGGAGCTATATCTAAATTTGACCCGATCTTCACGAAATTTAACACACATCCTTCTAGACTTAATTCAGGACGCTATGTCAAAATTCGTGCAAAATCGAAAGATTTTGGGGGAATTTGGTGCACCATTTAACAAAAATCGGGCGAATCTTTATATAGGAGCTATATCTAAATCTGAACCGATTTTCACAAAACATAGCACTCGTCTTTCTAGTCTTAACTCAGTACGCTATGCCAAAATTTGTACAAATCAATAGATTTTTAGGGACTTTTGTGCACCATTTACCTAAAATCGGGCGAAACTATATATGGGAGCTATATCTAAATCTGAACCGATTTCCACAAAACACAGCACACGTCTTTCTAGATTTAATTCAGTACGACATGTCAAAATTTGTACAAATCGAAAGATTTTCAGGGACTAAAATCCGTAAATCGGACAAAAATATATGGGAGCTATATCTAAAGCTGAGCCGATTTTTTTCGTCCTTGGGCCAAATAAATGAGCTGTACCAAATTTCAGCCAAATCGGATTATTAATGCGACCTGTACTTTGTTTACAATTTAACATCAACAGACGGACGGACAGACAGACGGATGGACATGCATAAATCGACTCAGAAAATGTGTGGTGAAGGGTATAATGATAAAATTCGATTTTTTGACACTTCGCCAAACAATTTCCAGCAGTCTTCGTACAATAAACCCGTTTCTTGTCCTAACAACATTTTTAATAGATTCTCTGTGTGATTTTAAAT